TATTAAATGAGATTAGTTTTTATGTACATTTATTCAATATTATAATCACATATTTCTATAAATGACTATGTTTCACAGGTATTAAAATTGAGTTCTGTGTATAGCCTCTACCAAATCGCACGCTGCACTCCAGCTAATTTATTGTAATCAGCTAAGTGGCGGAATACGATTCTTGATAATCTCCACCTGGGAAGAGTACCACGTGGACGAGACGTTAACATACAACGTGGTGTTAACTGTCTTAAAGCAGTTTGCCGAGGAATTGTTTCATCTATTTGTTTGCCTACTGCTTCCTGCAACAAAAAGATTATTTCAATAATAAAAAAATTGACATGACAATACATTATAACAAGAGGGAATAAAATGTTCAATGTACTGTTGAAGTTATTCATGTATTTACAAGATGAAAAATATTTCACGGTATATTGTAAGGTTAGAAAATGCGTGTAGACATTTACCCGAAGTTCAAGTGGCAAAATGTCATTCCTCTTCATAGCCACTAAGCGTAATCGTTCCGGTGCATATTTTTCTGCCAGTTTTCTTCGTTTAACATCACGAATCATCCATCGATTAACATATTTCGTACGAACTTGCTGGAACTGAACGTAATGAATTTAGAACAAATTTGATAAGAATAGTTGTAATTTCTTTGTACATTAAGAGAAACTAATTATGCAGTTTCAAAAATGTACTTATACTTACACCGCAAGCCGCGAGACTTGTACTTTTTGAAAAAATATTCGAGAGTGTCAACAAACCGTTCTTTATAGCAGCCATGTTTAGCTCAACAGCTGTTTGTGTCCCATCCTGTTGATGTAACTTATCTCATGTACGATATCTACGATATTCTCGCAACGTGATAGTGAAGCGTAATATTAAGATAATCTGTGCAATTTCCAATTATTTATTTAACTAAAGAAGCATAAGACATACATGTAACAATATGAAGACCCGATTTAATTCTTATGATATCGCCTGCACCATAACTGAGCTGCGAAAGTAAGTTAATATGAGAATTCTTTAATAACGACTTTATCTCCCAGCCGTGGAGGTTAACATATAAATATATAAACATACTAGATTTCTTCAATTTATTTATATTCCTAAATAAAATTTAGGCTCATTGGTATGCGCGTGAATCAAATTTACGACATCGACCACCGGACTTATCTCATACGTCTTCAAAGGAGCGAAGAAAAATGTGTACTCTTATTAGAATCTGGCAACAGGATTCACACTACGGCATTCGAATGGCCAAAAAATGTAGCGCCGTCAGGATTTTCGATGAAGGTATTGACACATTTCAGCTTTTCTTTAAACAATCGTACGTGATAAAATATTTTTACAGATGAGGAAACATCTTAAAAATAAACGACTTGAGAGCCTTACTCAAATCGGGGTAGACCGAATAATTGATCTACAGTTCGGAAGTGGCGAAGCAGCTTACCATGTAATCTTAGAATTGTATGATCGTGGGAACATAGTTCTAACAGATCACGAAATGACCATTTTAAATATTTTAAGGCCTCACACAGAAGGTGATAAAATTAGGTGAGCTCCGATCTAAGTTTAATAATTGCAACATCTTATATTTATGAGAAATTAAATAAGCACTTGATGATTAGATTTGCTGTTAAAGAGAAATATCCTATGGATCGCGCCCACCAAAATACAATGCCTCCATTAGAAGAGATACAACAGCATTTACAAAATGCTAAATCAGGAGAAAGTCTAAAGAAAATACTGAATCCACTTTTAGAATTTGGTTCTGCTGTGATCGATCACGTTCTGTTGACACATGGTTTCACGCTTGGTTGCAAAATTGATAAAGATTTTAACATCGTAGAAGACATGCCAAAGCTGATCCTAGCATTGGAATGTGCGAATGAGATGTTGGACCATGCCAAACAAAACGTATCCAAAGGATACATCATACAGAAAAAAGAAAAGAAACCAACTACAGATGGCAAGGAAGAATTTATTCACACGAACATTGAATTTCATCCATATTTGTTTGAGCAATATAAAAGCTATCCGCACAAAGAATTTGATTCTTTCGATGTCGCTGTGGATGAATACTTCTCTACGATGGAAGGTCAAAAACTGGATTTGAAAGCTCTGCAACAGGAACGCGAAGCTTTGAAAAAACTAGAGAATGTAAAGAAGGATCACGATCAGAGGCTAATAACACTAGAAAAAACTCAAGAATTGGATAAGCAAAAAGCTGAATTGATCTCTAGAAACCAAACTCTAGTAGATAACGCGATATTAGCTATACAAAGTGCTCTTGCAAATCAAATGGCTTGGCCTGATATAAAAGTCTTGTTAAAGGAAGCAGAAAGTAGAGGTGACCCTGTTGCATGTGCGATTAAGCAACTAAAATTAGAAACAAATCATATTTCTTTATTGCTACACGATCCCTATGAAGAGAGCGACGAAGAATCAGAGCTGAAGCCCATGCTAATTGACATCGACTTGGCGCACACAGCTTTCGCAAATGCTAGGAAGTATTATAATCAAAAGAGATCGGCAGCTAAAAAGCAACAAAAGACGATAGAGTCCCAAGACAAAGCTTTAAAGTCGGCGGAAAAGAAAACGAAGCAAACGCTCAAAGAGGTGCAAATCATACATAGTATCAATAAATTAAGAAAAATATATTGGTTTGAAAAATTTTATTGGTGTATCAGTTCTGAAAACTACCTTGGTAAGTCGGAAATTTCTGTCATATCTAAGAGAATGTATTGTAATTATATTTTAAATATTTTATAGTAATCGGTGGCAGAGATCAACAGCAGAACGAACTGATTGTGAAAAGGTATCTCAAATCTGGTGACATATACGTGCATGCAGATTTGACTGGTGCCAGTTCTGTAGTTATTAAAAATCCTGACGGAGGTCCTGTACCTCCGAAAACCTTAGCTGAAGCGGGTACAATGGCCGTTGCTTATAGGTAATAGATATTCTTATGCTTTTTAATGTTCTCTACATAAGACATCATAATTTTTATATTAGCATTGCATGGGATGCTAAAGTGGTAGCAGGAGCGTGGTGGGTACATAATGATCAGGTATCGAAAACTGCCCCTACTGGAGAATACCTTACCACCGGATCTTTCATGATTCGTGGGAAAAAGAATTACCTACCACCTTGCCAATTAGTAATGGGATTCGGCTTCCTGTTCCGCCTAGAAGAAAGTTCAATTGAGAGGCACAAAGATGAGAGGAAAGTCAAAATTATAGACGATGATAGTGAACATACGGAATCAGTCACTGAAGAAGACAGAGAAATCGAATTAATAGGAGACTCTGATGAAGGTAGAAAGGATACAATGTTTTATAAATTTAACAGTAAATATCATTGTCATTAACCGGAATCATTTAAACTTGAATGAAACAGATGGACAGCCTGCAGATAAAAACTGTTTGAGTTCCATTCAAGAGGAGTCTAAATCAGACCTGATTAAGGAAGAAAATGACGCTAATCAGGATACTAGCGACGAAGAAGACAACCCATCTCAATTTCCTAATACACAAATTAAAATTAATCTTACTGGTTCAAAGTGAGTTAGTCAGAATTCACAGATTATACTTCTTTCCATCAAAGATAATGTTACATTATATTGGGATAATTTTTACAGAGTGAAGTTAGACATCAAAAGTAATCATTCAAGTAAAATATCGCAGAAGGATCCGGACGATGTAATATACTTGGGCGATGATAAGCCTGTCATTATAAATACTGTAGCTAGAGAAGAGAATTCTAAAGTTAAGTCCAAGGCAGTTCCAAAAAAAGAAAGTAAAGAAGAAACAGAAACTAAGAAAAATGACCAAGTAGTTTTGAAGCGAGGTCAGAAAGGAAGATTGAAGAAGATGAAAGAAAAGTATAAAGATCAGGATGAAGAAGATAGGAAATTGTCCATGCAAGTTCTTAAAGTAAATATCTTTTTTATTAATGTAAGAATATTGGTGTTAAACAGAATTTTCTTATAGTCATGTATTGACAATTAGTCAGCAGGTGCTGCGAAGGAAGATAAAAAGAAAAATAGAAATAAAGACCCATCTGGTCCAAAGCAGCAAACAAAGAAAAAGGGTACGATGAGACCACCTCCGCAACAAAACTCTCAAATAGTAGATAATATTGAGGATGAAGATACAGGCCCAGGACCCGAAGTAGACATGTTAGATCAACTAACTGGAAAGCCTGTCCTGGAAGATGAACTGTTATTTGCTGTACCAGTAGTTGCGCCCTACAATACTGTATTGAATTATAAGTACGTAAAAATATTTATCTAATGTATATCACGTTTCTTACTTAATATAGTCCTACGTGTATAATGTGTTCTATTTCAGGTTTAAGGTGAAACTAACGCCAGGTACTGGTAGAAGAGGAAAGGCGGCTAAGACTGCTGTGGCAGTATTTATGAAGGACAAGGAAATCACTTCAAGAGAAAAAGACTTATTGAAAGCAGTGAAAGAGGAAACAATAGCTAGAAATATTCCCGGGAAAGTTAAGATAAGTGCTCCACAAATACAAAAGGTGAAAAAGTAAATTCGAGTACATCTTTGGTAAATATGATAATAAAAGGAATGTATTTGTACATGTATGTATAAAATGATTTGCTTGTCAGAAGCTATATGATACATGAAAAAATGTTTTTTAATTAATAATTTTTGTACATAAAAACCTGTGTTCTTTTCATCGTTCACATAGTGGTATACAAAAATTAATACTGTTTAACAGTAGGCACTTAGCAAGGTAAATGAAATTTTCTACAATTCTTTAACGCGCGAGTGTGTCGAAATGTACCTTATTAATTAGTTCGAACTACGTGGATAACAAAATATACTTGCAAATAATAACCCTTTCGCATAATCGATGTATCAATAGATTTACAAATCTCATTATAAATACAGCAATGTACAATCTCACCAAATATAATTATTTGTATAAACACGCATAATAACCAATATTTACTTCAGACATACAATTCAATATAATTACGTCGTAAACATGTCCTCGTCAGAAGCAGTCTCGCTGTCTATCACTGCTTTTCGTAAATTTCGTGGACTTCTAGGTGACATTACTTTCCGCGCAGTAGGTCGCGATCTAGTACCCTTGGATATGACCTATAAAAATGACAGAAATATATTCCTTCAATGCACACTTAATTGAAATAATAAACGCTCATATTACCTCTGGTTCTGATTGATCTGACATCGAATCGACATATGTTCTTTTTATTCTTCTCCTGTTCCTAACCGGACTCTTTTCTTCTTTTGAGTTGCTCGGGGCAACTTTAGGTTTTCTCGTCTTTTTAACTATTTTTATATCATACTCTTCATCAGAATCGATGTCTTCGAGTATTTCTTTAATATCTTTTACACCACCCCGTTTTTTATCTAATACAATGTCTACGGTGCTATCATCTAGATTGTTCAGCTTATTTAGATTTACTGTTGGTTTTATCAGTTTTGACCGAGGACTCTTTCTACTTCCGTCGACTAGTTTCTTTAGCCTCTGCGGTGTAGATTTCTGGACTTCATTTCTCGGAGTGTCGCTGCCCTTGCCCTTGAACTCCAACTTTCCATCTGGCTTGTGCGACAATTCTTTTAATCCGTCCACTAGTATTTTTATAAATTTTTCATAATTCGGCGTTTCATTGTATTTTACACTTGCCAGCAGGGTCATGTATTTAAGTATAGGTCCCGGAACTGACCCTTGAAAAGACTTCTTTAAAAATTCTGGGATATTATCAAAAGCTTTTTCTTTCTGTTTCTGAACATGAACTATGTCAGATAAATTTTTCTCCCATAAAAGAGTACCAGATAGCCACTGGATCATGTTGTAACCCAAGATTTCAAAATCACCACGCATTGTCGGTACTAAAAATATAAGTGACGTATGTTCAATTACATTCATTGTCGTCATCAATGTATTTATCAATGTATTACTTAATACTTTTTATAGTCTTTACCTCCCATGTGAGCATCTCTGCTGGTATACTCAGGAGTCCCATTATGTGCCTTTTTTGGGTCTAATTTGTATTCACCTTTAGTATAGTGAGAAGCCAATCCAAAATCCACAAGATAAACTTGATTCTGAGATTTTAAGTCTAATAATAAATTCGCTCCCTTTATATCCGCATGAACATACGTTTTATGATGGATATATTCCAGTACGTGTATCTAGAAAATTAGAAACGAAAATGTGAAATCTAATAACTGATCCAATGATGTAAACAGTTTATTTATAAACGTATGCAAATTAAAATGTTCTTTAGATTTCCCCTTACTATTTGTAAAGCTACTTTATATACTGTGTGTTCTGGAAATCTCCTATTATTCGCTTCGAATAGCTTCCATAAATCTGTACCATACCGATCCATTACTACAAACCGGTATTTTGTATTTTTATATTCATGACTTCCAGAGCTTATATACTTAGGCATGCCAAGTGCTGGAAGATTCTTTTTTCTTCTCCAACTTTCGACTAAAATAAATCATACACTGCTCTATTTTCTTATACTAATATTTGGATAATATTAAGAAAAACAATCCAAATAAGTGTACATAGAAAGAGATACATGGTGGAAGACTCACTTTCATCGGGTTTAGCATTTCTCATGTAAAAATGCATTTCCACAAACAATGGCCCATTCCCATGTGGTTCCTAAAATGTAAATTTTAAAAGAACACTTCTAAAGGAATACATAATGTATTTAAATGCAAATGTGTGTACAGGAACACTTACTATTTTAATTACGTTAGGATAATCTTTTGGACCTTTTCCATTATAAGGGGCACCTGTAATTAACAGATTATTAAAATTACCGATTAAAACAATTAAACGCGTATTATTATCATCAAGAAATGAAAGAACGTAAAGTACAACGACGAGCGTTTGCATACCGGAGTAAATTTCGCCGAAGCCTCCTATTCCGATAGACTTCCCAAGAATCCACTGTTTCTTAGCTATGTCAGTTAATATCTCGCCAGCAGATATCGGATCCGGCAATTTATAAGCTCCCTTCTTTCTAGGGGCTCGTTTCACCACTTTGGCACACATTATAAGGTTACGGAAGAACGTATCGTAAAAATATCTACAGAAATGCTTAGCATTCAGAGAAATAAGAAAAGAGATCAGGGACGTTTCTGAGAGTTATATAAAAATCTTTAACGTCGTGACAAACTTGTATATTCAAATAAATTCGTAAATACAATTCAATGAACAACGATCACTTCCCGCAGTGTTATAGAATAACTGTGAACGTAAAAAAATTCAAAGGCGGGAACCTTAACGTTTCAGTGCAACCTCCTGGGAAAAGTGAAAGTTCCCATGGAGTTGAAAATCCATCGTCCAGAAATTGGTGATTGCAGCGCGTACGATGAATTTAATAATTCTGTGTCTAAGAAAATACGACGGAAATCGTTAGTCGTTAAGCAAATTTACATCATGTAACAATAATTAGCATGAACCATCGTTTACGATTCGGACTACTTCAAGCAACACTGTCCCTTCAAATCTGCGTCTCGCGCCTTTTTCACGTCGTTATTGCTCGATTACATTCAATTATATTTATCAACGATAAGTAGTAGAGTGTAACCGGTAAAATTAAAGAAAATGCGCGCACCTTAAGAAGAAACCAAAAATATGAAGGAACGATGAATAAAACTTCACACGTTTTGTGTTGTGCGTTCATTTTATGAAACGGAGATTCGCCTGTTCGCATTCCGTTGCGTAAATCCGCGAGCCGGGAGTGCTTAGGTTATCTTTTTAAATGGAAGAAGTGGCTATTGTTTCGCCACAAGCAGGTTTGAATTCTAATGACAAAACTAGCGAGAAAGGGGACGATAATTCTAGCGCAAATTACAATGACTCTGAGAGTGATCGCGAAATCCCATATGGGGAATGCACCCCGCAACAGACATCGACGAGTAGACAGATTGACAATTCAATCTTTAATACCATATCTAAAATCGTTAATTCCACGGCAAAGGTAAATTTATATTGTTTTACTTATTTAATAATTAATTATACATAAATTCGAAGTCTGATTCTATCATCGAACATCGTGTTTAATCTTTAGGTACCGGAGATTCATGACTTTAAAATCGTGAAACCAATAAGTCGCGGTGCGTTTGGCAAAGTATTCCTTGGATACAAAAAGTCGAATCCCGATAAATTATATGCAATTAAAGTAATGAAGAAAAATGAGATGATACATAAGAACATGGCTTCGCAAGTCATTATAGAAAGAAACATATTAGCTTTAACTCGTAGCGCTTATTGCGTACAATTATTTTATTCATTGCAATCCGTTAGCAATGTTTACTTAGTAATGGAATATATGGTAGGTGGAGATCTTAAGAGTTTGCTCAGTGTTTACGGTTACATGGAAGAGCCCATGGCAGCTTTTTATATCGCAGAAGTCTGCTTAGCTTTGGAGTACCTTCACTCTCATGGCATTGTACATAGAGATTTGAAACCAGACAATATGCTTCTGTCGATAGAAGGTCATGTGAAGCTCACGGATTTTGGCCTTAGTAAAATATCTTTGCACAGAGATCTCGAGATATCCGATTTAGTTAATTGCACGCCCAGCCTTTGCACCAGAACCCCTGGGCAACTTCTTTCGTTGACGTCTCATTTGTCGTTTGGTTCTGGCGGGCAGAGATCTACGAGCGACTCAAACATCAGCGAGAGGAGTTCGACTGGTATCAATTTACTTTCGGCACTGCAACAAGCCCGTACGAAAGTTCAATCTTCACCAAATTCGGTGGTTTCCTCCGTCGCATCTGGGGATTACTCCCGAGTATCTGGTATTGCTCCTTTTCAATCCGCTGAGGATCTCCATTTGACGGAACGCTTAGAGCAAAAGGTGATCATTGAAACGAACGAAGAGGAGGAAAGCAGTTCCGGAAGTTATCACACTTGCGAGGCGTCTTTGGTTAATGTAATCAGCCATCTGACTCATAATACGGAAGAAGAGGACGAATCCACGTTGGAGGCTGAACAGTCTCAGCAACCTTTACTCCACACGAGTCCGTTGAGTACGTGCACCAACACCTATACTAGAAAAAGCGCAAAACGAAAGAGGCCTACAGCCGGCACAACAACTGGTTTAACGTGCGAACTTAACGCGATAGATTTGGATATGGACAAAACACCGAAGAGAAAAAATCGCGGGTGCATCTTTAATAGGAGTCAGATGGACTCCACTATCTCTGAGTCGATGAGACAAACGGATAACGCCAATAGTACGGCCGAAGGGCAGGAAAGTGGATCTAGTGGCAGAGTCGCGTTCAGTACGCCAGTGTCCTTTACGAAACAGAGATGCTACAGCGAGGAGATGGGGGAGACGAAGTGCGACGAGGAGCAAACGCGCCAAATTAAGTCGACGAGATTTCAGCTGCCACCGGCTCACATTTCCCATTCGGCTCCTGAGATATCCATGGATGAAAACCAGTCGTCAATAGACAAGCATCGGTCACCTCAAGACATATCACCTATAAAAACTCCTGCGACTTCCGGCAACTGTTACACACCGTACAGAACTCCAAAATCGGTCAGAAGAGGGCATACTGGCGTCAACCGATCTGACGATCGAATACTTGGGACGCCCGATTACCTTGCTCCGGAATTGCTTCTGAGGCAAGGTCATGGACCTGCGGTGGATTGGTGGGCGTTAGGCGTGTGTTTGTTTGAGTTCTGTACCGGGGTCCCGCCTTTCAACGACGAGACACCGCAGGCAGTATTCGCTAACATTCTTGCCAGGGATATCCCTTGGCCGGAGGACGAAGAAGCTCTGTCGGCAGTCGCCACGGAAGCTATCGATGCCCTTCTAACCTTGGATCAAACCGAGCGTCCTTCGGCGCAAGAAGTGCGGGTCATGAAACTCTTCCAGGACTTCCCTTGGAGCGACCCACAGAAGGCAACGCCCCCTTTCATACCGCAACCCGACGACAATTTCGATACGTGTTATTTTCAAGGTACGTAGTTTTCGATTATTTGCCTTAATTAAATTGTAACACTCTTTCTCCTTTGTCTTTTCCAGCGCGAAACATAATGCAACATTTAAATGTGAGCAATTGTGACACGTCGTCTTTGGAATATCACGACGATGTGAAAACACGACCTGCTTCGTAACAGGGACCACGTTAACACAAGAATTTATGTATAGCACCAGACTATTTTTTATATACGTGTATATGTGTAATAAAATATTTTGTTACATCTTAGCACCTTCGGATATCTCTAAACGAAAGTTCCGCTCTGTTGAACAGTGTTTATGTAACATGAAATACGCGGGGGATGAAGGAAACTGACATTGTCTTTTATTCGTATAAAAAGATTCAATACTTAAAACGAGTCTCGTTAACTGTAACGCGTCATGGTCGATAATATGAGGATTACAATGATTGAGAACGAGACACTTGATGAAGCAAGCATAGTAATACTGCTCGTTTCATTTTAGATTTTTGTAAATCCATGGCAGGTAGTGTGTCACTCTCGTATAAACGCCAGGATATTGTCCTTTACCGCATCCGATTCCCCAACTAACGATACCAACCTGTGTCCAGCGTCCATCGTTCACCATTAAAGGTCCGCCGCTGTCACCCTTTAAAACAGGAATAAATGTTACAATAAGAAAATTTTAATTTTAATATTTCTTTCGATACAAACCGAACAAGAATCCTTCGCGGCTTGTCCGGCACACAGGAAACTATCCACGATACCACCAGGCGCTGCCGCGCCGTATTTCAGTTTGCATTCACTGTTCGTCCAAATTGGTATCGAAACTTCTTGTAATATTGCTGGTTGTGGTCCACCTGAAAAGTTAAAATTTAGATTTGCTGTTCTGTTATTGTCAAGCTTCCTCTACTTCAAAAGTAATGAACTTTTCTGAACTTCGTACTTTCTCTCAGAGAACCCCAGCCAATAACAGTAGCGATCTTTCCAGGATATAATAGCGAGCCGCTTGGCAAACAGATAGGTCTTATTTGTTCTGTGAATGGGACAGGTTCGTTAAGGGTGAGTAACGCGATATCGTTGTATAACGTGCGCGAATTGAAACCCCTGTGCCTGACCACTCGTTTCACTCGTCGTTCAATGTGTCGGACCTCCCTGTTCGTTTTGATGTCGTAATCGCCCAGGCGAACTGTTAATCTCGCCACGTCCCAAGAATTCATACTGAAACCATCAAAGAGGATCTTTCATTTGCACGCGTAAACTCAATGCAATTTCTGCCTTCATAATTATATAGCAATTATCAGTCTGTTAATCCCTTCGTGGAACAGCTTGAAGAGAGGATCGTTTAAAGAAAGGCTGGCCTTGAACTAGCCGTTCTCACAGTAGGAAAACTGAAGCTACACTAGGTACGAATACTAAGAGTGAGATGATTTTGTAATGCCGATCGGCTTCCAGGGAACTCACGTGGCAACGCAATGAGCCGCGGTGAGAATGTGTCTATCGTCGATGAGCGAACCACCGCAGAATTGTCGGCCAGCGTTGAAGAGCGCCGCCATCCAAGGCCATTCGCCGGGGTCGGCATCCTGACCGCCCACGATCCTCTCCTGGTCCTGAATACCGTTCTTCGCGCCGCACTGATTGTGAGACGTGTCGATGCTGACCACCGTCTCCGAAGGTTTCTCGCTGCTGGTCGAAGGCACGGTCGACGCGCCCGGCCACCAGGCAGGTTTCTTCGTCGGCCAGGTCGTAGCAATGCCGGGTTTTTTCGACGTGGAAACTGGTTTCACCGTTGAGAACGTCGGTAATCCAATGAACGGTGGATGAGTGGGCAGCGGCGGTATAGTATGATCTGGCGGATGCGTCGGGATCGGCGGTGGCCAGGAGCCCGGTGTCTGCGGCCTTGGTTTCACGACGATCCCATCCTCCTTCTTATCGTTATTTCCACCCTGAAGCAACCCGCGAGGGAGAGTCTCGTGAAACGTCGCCTCGAGACCGAATAACGGAATAGGAAGTCGAAGAATCACCGGAGGGATTAGATACAGCAGTAAAACCGCAGTCGTAAAAGTCTAAATCGTTTGTGAAACCGACAGATACAACCGAACTGCCACTTTCTAAGCTGGATTCGAAGTTTTCGATTCGCATCACGTATTATTTTACGAGTTCTTGGTAACTAACCAGGTTCTATAATTCAGATTGAGAAATCGCCCAATAAATTGTACTTCACCTTGTAATTAGTTACAAACATTAATTTACTCGACTAATTAAGAACTGATCGTACGTTCAAAGATCTATGAAAGGATCTATTATATCACAGACACAACTTGTGCACAGAATATTCAAATTCCTAGTTCTATACTGAGTAACATAATCTTAAATCAATTATAAACCATTTCCCTTTTATTAAAATGGAAAATAGTCTTTTTACTTGCGTGTCTTCTACGATGGGACCCTCGGTGCTGTCCGGAGACGGTGTAACGACTGGAAGTATGTTCGAGCAACAGATCCCGAAACTTGTTTGACCATTCTCTCGGGTGTAACTGCAAGTATCGTAAACGCCGAGTACCCAGCCGTCTAATGGGCTGAGGTCAGGGATTTTGAAATATGGATAGCATTCCTTGAAACTGGTGCAACGTCCAACCTCGCCTTTCGACGTCAGACAGGATTCGCTGTTGGAGGCTCCGCTCCAAAGGATACCACGTCCATCCCGCATCTCTGACCGGACATCAAAATCCCTGGCGGCTGAATAAGATATTTCAATGCATGGTATAAAAATGAAGTGACGCTGTAAGTAATTGTATATCAATTTACGAATACGTATCATTGTGGGATTGTGATGTACACCAGGAATACAGCGCGTAACTGTGTGTACACGCGCGCATAACTGATGTTCGACAGAGAATGACACATCGTCTAAGTTGTAATGAATGCAAGACACGCGTAACAATACATACTTGCGACTGACACCAAGGTAACTTTCTATTTTTTTTACAACCTCGATCGCCGAATTTATAGCATTGATACATTGTAATATATCGCAACCAATGTGTTGACGCGCGCGGAACTTATGTCTAGTTATGTCACTTGGATTTTAAATTCTAAAGGAAGTCATCAATGACTTGTTCAATTTTTTTTTATCATTGTATCATCGACTGAATTTTCCAATTCGATTGAGTCAGATGTGTCACAATAGAATTCCATCCAGATTCTTGACAGCGGGTTCGCTGACCCAAGTTACACACGCAGGTGCACGCACACGCGGCAGATATGCGCGCCTGGAAGACTTCCGCTCGCCGTGTATGGAACGTTCGCATGGTCGTGGACATTTCGATTTGATTATTCGCATCGTTACCATCAAGTAAATTCCAAAACAATCTTCGATTACTTCAAAAGTGAGTTTTCTACACTCTAGGATTTTCTACTCACGATGTTACAAAGTGACTAACACTATTGCTTACTCGACTGTTACTGTTGATTAATTTAATCTTTATAAATGTGAATTATAAAACTGAAGTCACTTGTACTATTTTATTAATCACGTATGGAAATGTTTGAGTTGACGCTCACCATCGACGATCACCGCGTTGTCATCCTCGTCTCCAGCTTCAAAAGATGACTCGAAGTGGATGGATTTGTCCTCCGGACTGGCATCGATGGTACCGAGTACCATCAAAGTCGTCAGGATGATTTGCGCGATAAGAAGTGATATCGTTGCCAGCGACGTCGTTTGATGTCGCCGGTTCATCTTCGGGAAAATCACAGATAGGAATCACAGGAAGAAGAGAAGAAGCACTTGGTGTTCGGGGACCCTGTGGTGTTGCCAGTAGGGATCCTGGGACTGGCACTAAGTTGCTAAGCTGCTGAATAGCCGGTGCTCGTACTTATAACGGGCCCGTCCTCCCCTCTCGTGGCGCCTGTTCTTTGCCCCCGGTGAGTTCGACACGTCTTCTCGTCTTCTTCGTGGGTTCTTCTCGTCTTCTTCTTCTCCCAGTCTCCGAGCACCTCGAGGCGACCGCGTGGAGGGCCAACGAAGAAAAAAGGGTAGGCGGGACGTTCACGGGAATCTGGAGCTGATGGTATGCTAATTTTCGACAGATTGAAAGGGTTTCGGTCCGCCGATTCGATCACGCAACGCGATCCTCTTCTGCTTCTTCAGAAGCTCATGTGCATAACATACGATGTTCCCCAGATTTATATACAGTAAATCCTTTTAGTTGATTTAATACTTCCTTCTTTTATATGCCATCTATAATTTTATTATATATTGATATTCGGCAGTTCAAAAAATTTGACAGGTCCAATAAAAAAGTAATATACATATACTGTAAATATATTCGCTCAGTCCTCCTGTCAAGCGATCATCCGTCTCCTAGTATCTATTTTTTTGGCTGTATTCTAGCGGTATTGCGATTAGTACGGTTCGTAGATTGTATCTAATTTCCCGGTTCGGTAACGGTCACACAACAGGTCGATATGGATCAGGAATATGTAATCGAATTCGTACAGGCGGAATTCGTTCTGGCAGCGGCGCGGTCCCGATACGAATTCCCTGATTATGTAAGTGGTGTGACGGAACCGGCACAACTTTGATTTGTGTCGCCCAGAACGTAAACGAACGTCGGGTTCACAGAGTGGCAGCATTTGCATAGAGAGAGAGTACGATCTACGGGCTGGCCTTGAAGAGGCCGAGGCGAAGACTGCACGTAAGGGACGGCCGTGAACTTAGCAATCGTGCGTGTTCCACCTCGTGCGGATACTAACGTGCGCGTGCATTTCCCTTTGGACACAATGAATGGAATTTCTTCAAACGCTAGGCGTGCGTAGAGTGCTCGATACCGGTCGACTAGTTTTCTCTGCTTTCTATTTATTCAAACGCTGTTGTCTTTTTCTTAAGAATTACGGCGCGCAATTGGCGATTGTAAAAGCTCGACTGATCGTTACGTTTCAAATATGTTTGCCTTTCGTTAATGGATTTCGTCTTTGTAAGAATTATGTTATTTACACAAGCGTTTATGCAAATCGCAAACAGCTCGCGTAGAATTTTTCGTCAACGCCTTAATGCAAGCAGTTCGTTAAATCTCACGAATCTCTTAATTATGACTCTTCAACTGTAAGTACTTCCTGCTCGTCCCTAAGGCATTTCAAGTTTCCTTCAATTACGAGTAAGTAACGTCGTGTAATATTAATGAATCAAGAGTAACTGGTTACAGAGATTCCAAGTTTAAATTGCATCGTGACTTTGTCGTAGAAAAAATGTGTAAGTAACGATAATTACTGTACAGTGGAGATTGGTTATTGCATAGAAATTACGTAAAATATTTTATTTGATTAAAGTAAATATATGTTTACGTTTGTTCGTTGATTATTAGGTTCAGGTCGTTCGAGTGAGAATAGTTTTTTTTCGTAAAAATGCAGCATCGGGAGGGTGTTGGGTGAAAAAAAGATGGTAAGAAGCACGGTGCCAGTCCTTGAGATGGATATAAACTTCACATTCCGTGGTTCAACGAACTGCACCTTAAAAGCGCGAGGGGGATAAAACGAGGTGAAGCTTCTACTTTTTCTCTTTAGTCCCTCTCGTCCTTTCCTCGAACACCGGCTATTAATAATTTGCGTCACCGATAGTCGTTCACCGTGCGGTTGATCCGCGATTTATCTCTGATCCTCTATTATTAATAAACACATCTGAAACGTAATCAAATGACTGTACCAATACTGACAAGTAACTGTTTGAAAAATATCCATCGGTCATGAAAAAATATTCGTCGTCACTTTTTTTTAATTTTCAATTCCAAATCGTACTTGAGGATGTATTGGCTATACAGTCAATCCCAAAAGTTTATGTACCTTAGAAAAACGCATTTCCTATAATTAAAAAGAAATCAGACGTCGGAAAAATAATGCTAATAATAAATAG